GTCCAGAAACGGCCGCTCACTAGATGAAGAGAGAAGAGAAGCCAAAACATCAAACAAAGAGACAAATGATGTCATTTTTAGGAATGACTAACTCCTGCAGAAGCTGGGTTCCAAACGATGCTGAGATGGTAAATCCCTTATCAGAACTGATGTATGATGAGCTTACGGCAGCACATGATAAACTGAGCTGGACTCCTGAAGCAGAGGAAGCTTCTGGTAAAGAAAATGCTGACAAGTTCATCTGTGGTAGGTTTACCAAACTATAAACAACATTCACACAGACAGTTGATTGTAGAAGTTTTATGACATCTGTGTTAACCCAAGAACATGGAGGAAGACACGGACCTAAAGCGTTCGATTCCTCTCAGCTAGATTCTGTTGCTCGAGCCGTCTGTCTACAAGCTGTAATCGCAGCATCAACGTCTGTACAGACATCTGCACCGATAGAGTTGTTGAACCCTTTAACACTGAAAGTACCACACAGTTTCAGCTCTACTTCTGCAAAATAAAATAATGTACATGTCACCTGAACGACATCTCTCATGCATGGCAGCGTTGCTCTCACAAGCTCGTTTGACTATTGAAAGATGTAAAACACTGAATCCATCCACACTGTGACCAGCAGCTGAGGAAGGGACACCACATGACTAGAGCTGCAGCTGAAAGTCGTGTGTTACCAAGAAGTGGAGCAGCTCCTTCCTATCTCCAGGCCACAGTCAAGCCCTACACCCCGGCCCGACCTCTTCGCTCTGCTGCCTCGGGGCGATCGGTCGCCCCGCCGCCCAGAGGTCCCTGCGGCCGATCGACCCGGTCGCGGCTGTTTCCTGTCCTGGCCCCTCAGTGGTGGAATGAACTCCCCACTGACGTCAGGACGGCAGAGTCGCTGCCCATCTTTCATCAGGCTGAAGACTCACTTCTTCAAGAAGGCCTAGCCTTAGCCTTCCACTTAGCATTTACTGTATTCATACTAGCTTGTTTCTGTACTTCTGCTCTGCTTTATGCTCTTAGATGCTTGTTTGAAGGAGATGCACTTATGACTTCTGGTGACTCGTAGTTCTCTTGAATATGTTGAATACACTTATTGTAAGTCTCTTTGGATAAAGGCGGCTGCTACATGACTGTAATGTAATGTGATGTAACTGATCTAACAGACACATTTAAAGATGCAGATGTGACTGTTCGTTGATGGCTCATGTAAGAATAATCTAGATGGCACAAATGCAGCAGGGTATGCAGTAATACGGGGTATGCAGTAATACGGGAATGCAGTAATACGGGGTATGCAGTAATACGGGGTATGCAGTAA